CCCCCAACCTATCCCTGCTTCAGGTCCCCCTGGGCTGAGATAGAACTTGCTCTTGCCAAGCCTAACACCTCACCCTCAAGCCAAGGCGGGAATCCTCACATTCCCCTGGCCCTTCCAAGCCTGGATTCCGTCCCCGCCCGACCACTGCCTTTGGCTCACACCGAGGTTCTGCAGAGATGTCACCGCCAGGACACCCAAACAGGCCGCAGGGAAAAGAAAACTGTGATTTCAGCCAGGGCTAGGGCAAATGCATAAACGGAAAAAGTGCTGCAAATTAAACAAAACGATGCATAGAGATGAGGAATTTTAATTGAAAACTTTAAGGGGAGAGATTTTAAAGCTTTAGTGCAAACGAACTTCCTCAGTACATAAAGTTTCACTTGTGTCCTCTCCCAGTGAAGAAATAATAACATGTCTCAATTGTAAGACTGCATGTTGTTCCGTGCAGTTTAAGTGAAGAAAGAGGAGTTCAAAATGGGAAAGAACTTGCTTACCTGGGAATGGCCATGTGACCTCATTCATTCTGGTCCTCTATTTCACAACGTGCAATAAGTCAGGCAATGTCTCAACTGAGATGAATCCTCGCTCCTTAGAGAGTGTGTCAGTTCTATTGTCTGACCACCGAATGCTCATGAAAATGTGAGTGTGGACTTCCCTTTCAGGCCTGTGTCTCCATCCTCTGTCTCTGCTCCTCTCTGCCTTCAGATCTCTATGACCCTCCTCCAAAGAATGAGCAGATCATAGTGTCCAGGGCAGCTACAGATGGGCCTAGGCCCACTTTCTGTTAACTCAGCACAAGTGAGTCATTTGGCAGAAGACATAAGATATAAACAAGCTCACCTTAACCAAGGGAGGGAGGAGTAAAGTTGTTTGTTTGTTTTGTTTTTTGTTTTTGTTTTTGTTTGTTTGTTTTTAAGAACAACAAAGCAAACCCAACTTTACAGAGCACTCCAAGAAAGAACCAGACAAGAAACTCCCCTGGAAATAAATTGGTTTCTTCTCATGTCTCCAGCTCAACTTCTCTGGACACTGCTCTCATATTAACAGGCAAAACGGCGAGACTGCCCAGACTGGGCCAGACAAGCCCCAACAGGACAAGATATTATGCTAGGCCATTTTGCATAGTGCTAGGCTGTCCTCCCAGGTGGCCAGGAAGGTTTAAAGGTCTAATGACTGTTGGAGTTCTCTCATAGGGGTTCAGAGATCTCACTAGAGAATCTGCCTTTCCTAGCAAGGCCCAAGGAGCGATTGTGCACCTGCCACCTGCCCCTCCCCTTTAAGCACCACACGTTTATCTCTTTAATCTCCCTGCCTTCTAAAAGAAATGACCTAGTTCAGGGCAGCTACCAGCTGGGTAGGGCTTAGCCTATAGATTAGGAGGAGGAGGCACAGGGAGAACCTGGAAAGACTGATCACTGTAGACGGGTCCCAGCACTTTTTCATCTCTTTCTAGGGCAGAGCAAGAGGAAATGGCAAGTGGCAGTTGGAGGCAGTATGGAACCTTGGGAAGAGCTGTGGACTTGGTCTTAAAACCTTGCTGCTTTTCTTGACTTGACCACCACTTAATGGTGTGATCTGAGCCTCAGTTTCTTTTTTTTTGAGAGGTTTTTTCGCTATAGGGTGTGTGCGCTCGCCAGACAGACAGAGAGAGACAGAAAGCGAGAAATCAGCCCCCAGGAGGGATGGTCACGCCGCAATCCCTTCTCCTCCATTCTCCTCTCGGGATCTTGGGCACACACGCACATGTGCCTGGCATGAGTTTTAAGCCACCGGTCCGGGATGTGAACCGTGGTCGACTACGTGGGAGTCCAGCGACATAGCCATTACGCTAACTGCTGGTTCCCAGCCTCAGTTTCTTCATCTGAAAAGCAAAGCTCATTCTGAATGATTGCTAGAAATGCTGTAGCTCCAATGGGTTAGGGGTTAGTAAAGATCTCTGGCACGGTAGTAAGGAGTATGAAACAGCTATTTACAGACATTTCTAGTGTGTTCTTCCTAGGGATGTGAAAATTCAGACAAGGTTCATCTTTTAAACATTTCTTTCTTCTATGAGCAAGACAGACAGAGACAGACACCCCCAACAGGGTCTTCATGCCACAGTCCTCCCCAAAGCTCAGCAAACCACACATATGGATATTTATGTGCCTCGGTGGTCTCTGAACATGAATCCAGAACCTTCACATGTGGGTCAGCCTCATAGGGCATTGTTCCACCATTATTCCACTGTTCCACTATTTGGCCCCGAGATACGATTCTTGACCATTGTAGGTGCTTAGAAGAGGGCCTGTGTAACCTCTCCAGTGCATTCGTGTCCTGAGAGTCTACTAGTCCAGAGTGAAGCAGGTGGGAAGCCAGCTCACACCAAATTCCAGGGCTGAGTGAGCTGGGAGTCAGACCTTCTTAATCTCTCCAGAGGTAGGAGTAGGGACAGTCAAAAGTGGTTGACAGTGAGAACAGCAGGGAGCCCAGCGCCACTGCCACTAATAATTACAAATAGAGCTTTTGGAGGGGCTTTCCAGCTTCTATCTGTATTAATTAGATTAGGCTTTAGTTAGGCTGCAGCAACAAATAGGCTCCCCAAATGCAGCAGTTTAATGCTATAGCTATTTATTCTTGTTCAGTCAACAGCCTTAGACACTGATGCTTAGCTCAGGGGGGACAGATTTTCTCCACACTGTCACTTAGGGATCCATATTGTGGTGGTTCTGCCATTTGTTAATGTATGGCTTCCAAAGTTGCCTTGGGAGTTGCCATCCTAGTCAGTCAGAGATAAAAAGAATGGGGAGGTATGGAGGCTCTGGTGGGCCAGGCCCGGAAGTGGCATGCCTCACTTCCTCCTACAGTCTACTGGAGAGAGCACAATGACACGGCTCATCACACTACAGAGGAGGCTGGGGAGAGTAGTCTAACCACATAGGCAAAGTAGGGGAGAGGGGTTTGTAGACCGTTAACAATTCTGCCCTTCCACTCTAGACCAATAGAGTAGGAAAAGGACAGGGAGAACAAGGGAGATTTCTCTGGCCTCAGTTTCCTCCTTTGTAAGGGTGTTGAATTAGATGACCTCTCAGGGCTTATCTACTTTAACATTTCTGTGGTTCTAAAAAGCAACGCAATGTCCCTCTGCCCCAGAGGAAGCAAGCCGTGCAGGTTCCTGCTGCAGCACACCCTGAGCTTGAGGCCTCTTCTCTGATTGGTCTGACTGGTGGAACCCACAGGGAGAGCCTTGGGTTCTCTCCAAGTCCTGTTCCTGAGCTGTTCTCATTCCTTGGCCAAGTCAGGTGATCTCGACTGACCTCGGTCTCCCTAGCTGTCCGGTAGGGCCCCCTTCTGTGCCTCCTGGGGTTGGTCTGAGGACGTGATGAGCTCACTGTCCCCAGAGCACCAGGAGCTCTTCTGACAAAAGTGCTCTTACTATAGCCGGGGCCTGTTATAACTCTCCTTTCTGAACAGACACCAAGTTGTGCCCAGTTCCTGAAGACGGTGCCCCTGCATAATGCGTTCTAGTGTTGGGTGGCATTGCCGTGGTTGGGATACCACAGTGGCAACATGACCGTAATACCCTAGGGACATTCAGGGATCTGGTGACTAGGAGTGTCTGAGTGCTGACAGGTAGGTCAACAGACACTGGATAGAGGTGAGCTCAAGCATCACGGTCTCCTCTGGGGAGTCTGCCCTGCCCCTCTGTTATGTGCTCATCACCCTAATACACCCTTGGCCTGTTTTCTCATCCTCTCCGCTGCTGGCCCCTTTCCCCCAACAAGCTATGGGAAGCTCTAATACCTTCTTTTTTTTTTATTTAGTCATTCAACAAATATTTACCAAGTGACTACACTGTGCCTGGCACTATGTTGGATATTGGGTGGGCGAGCTTCTGACTGAATAAAACTGAGAGGTTTGGAGGAGACCGATAGTAATCCAGTGAACATCATGGAAACTCATTACCGTGCAAGTGCCCTGAAGCATAACACTCGGGAGGAAGGGGTGGGTTTCTCTGTGAACGTGAAATTGAACCATCGTCTGAAATCTATGTGTTGTTACTCGAGTAAAGGAGGGTGGCGAGAATATGTGCCAAGACCCTGAGGGAGGAGGGTCTGGGATAAATGCGAAGAACCAGAAGAACGTCAATGGAACTGAAGCATAGAGAGTGAGGAAGGGTGTGGAAGGAAGTGAGGCTGGAAACTTCCACAGCAGCCAGATGAGACAGGTCCTAGCAACCCATTTTAAAGATGTTAGCTTTATTTTAAGAGTTTAGGGAAGTCGCTGCAAG